ACCTCAAATGACTTGGAAGAGAAAATTTATTTTTAATGTCTAAACGTCTGTCGCCGAACAGCGGTGCATCGACAGTGAGAACGAGAGCTTTAAAACCAGCGCGCTCCGCCCTCGAAACTAAATTTAGGGTAACATTACGATCCTTGTATATGTACAGCTGGAACCATTTTATCGCCTTTGGCGCAGCCTCGGCGACTTCTTCAATACTACTTGTTGATATCGTTGAGAGTACGTAAATCGTACCCGCTTCCTGGGCGGCTGAAAATTAAAATATTCAACTCGATTTTATCTCTCGCTTTTCTATATATCATCTGGAAACTCGAAGAACTTTCAAATTACATTTGAACTAAATCTTCTTCGAATGACATCTTTTTTCTCTTTTTAATTGACAAAAATTAAACTGCGCCTTGTTGAGAATATTAAACGCCACGACGGACACCGAAGAAACAAACAAAAGTTGAAGGGCCAGACCTAGAGTGTCAAAATTCTAACAAGATGGTGCATGGTTTTCAATGTATCGAATGCATTCCGGCCGGTCGAGAACCGTTTTGATCAGCCAGAGGATCGATTCCTCAGTCGACGCGTGGCAACCGTGTCTGCTCCATGTGTTTTATCGCGACAGATTTGTTCAACGTTCACCGTATCGAAGATAGCAGCTGATAAGCTACCGCCAATTACACACACATGAGGTTAGTTTCACGCAGATAGTTCGCCAGGCCGGTGACTGGCAGCGGGTTTTCGCAGGTGTCATCGCGCGACATGAGTGTTTCATGATGATGAGAAGAAATGTCGTGAGCCTGATAAAGTTCTTCCTCCTGGCGGTTTTCACCGTATTTCTGACCGTTGTCGTGTTCCGTTACGTACGAACATCACCTAACCATGAAATCGTAACACCGATCGCCGTGTTGGTAGGCATTGACGACAGTCAGAAGAATCTCATCGATTCCAGGCAGAATTTGAACGACCATCTTTATCAGGTATGGGTTAAAGACCTGCTCATTATTGGCGCAAGTAAAAACAGGTTTAGCAATATATCTTAGCCTTCTGCATTCCGCGCAGTAGCGTATCTCGTTTCCACGAGCCCCCGTGCAATTGATATAGAGATAATATTATTTCTACATGTGATCGCTGGAACCTGTCAATAATTCAATGAAATGCTTATGTCAACTTGTAGAAAACGTAAATGTAAATACAAGGAGTATGATGCGAGTTTATAAGTTTACAAAATTTCTGTGAAAAAGACAAATTTCACTACTCTGGTGATTCTATAGTGTTAAGATGAGATTTATTGTTAATGGCATAAATGTTTGAATGAAACTTTTTCGCAGGACATTGATGAGAAAATAGACTGGCATGATTATGAGAAAATTGAAGAAGAGAAGAAGAAAATCGGAACAGGTGAACATGGGAAACCAGCATTCCTGTCGCCGTCTCTTGATGCATTGAAAGAAAAGTTATATCAGGTAAATGGTTTTAATGCTGCCCTCAGCGATGAGATTTCAATGAACCGCTCGGTACCTGACATTAGACACCCTGGCTGTAAAAAGAAGAAATATTTGAAAAATCTTGATTCAGTTTCTGTGATAGTCTCCTTCCATAATGAGCACTTCAGCACATTAATGCGTACTTGTTGGAGCGTTGTTAACCGTTCACCAGCATCTCTTCTCAAGGAAATTATACTGGTCGATGATGCTAGCACCAAGGTAGAATTGAAAAAGCCTTTAGATGATTATATAGCCAGACACTTGCCAAAAGTGAAAGTTGTAAGACTGGTGGAGCGTTCTGGTTTAATTAAAGGTCGATTAGCTGGTGCAAAGATTGCAAAAGCAAAGGTACTTGTATTCTTAGACTCTCATAGTGAGGCAAATGTCAATTGGTTGCCACCTTTGTTAGAACCTATTGCACAAAACTACAAAACTTGTGTGTGTCCTTTTATTGATGTGATAGCTTATGAAACGTTTGAGTACAGAGCTCAAGATGAAGGTGCAAGAGGTGCTTTTGACTGGGAGTTATACTACAAACGCTTGCCATTGTTACCTGAAGATCTGCAAAATCCAACAGAGCCATTTAAAAGTCCAATAATGGCAGGCGGACTATTTGCCATTAGTGCAAAGTTCTTTTGGGAACTAGGTGGATATGATCCAGAATTAGACATATGGGGAGGTGAACAGTATGAACTGTCATTCAAAATTTGGCAATGTGGTGGCCAAATGTATGATGCTCCTTGTTCGAGAGTAGGTCACATTTATAGAAAGTTCCCACCTTTTCCCAATCCAGGCAAAGGGGACTTTTTGGGAAAGAATTATAAGAGAGTAGCAGAAGTGTGGATGGATGAATATGCAGAATACATCTACAGAAGACGACCGCATTTAAGATCACTGGATCCTGGAAATTTGAAAGAGCAAAGAGATTTGAGAGCTAGACTACATTGTAAACCATTCAAGTGGTTCATGGAGAATATAGCGTTTGATCTCGTCGACGTGTATCCTCCCATCGAGCCTGATGACTTTGCATCTGGAGAAATTCGTAACATAGGCGTGCCAGAATTGTGTCTGGACTCGAAAAAACGAAGGAAAGACGAACTCGTTGCGATCGATGTCTGCATAAAGGATAATCCGAAAATTATAGGAGAACAAGAATTCAAATTGACTTGGCACAAAGACATTAGACCAAAGGATCGTACAGAATGTTTAGATGTCTCTAAAGGAGGTACGAAAGCTCCAGTCACTTTGTACCCCTGCCACGGAGGTCAGGGGAACCAATTATGGCGTTACAATGTTGAGAAACAATGGCTGATGCACGGTTACTCGTCGAGATGTCTAGACATGGATCCAGCAAGCAAAAAAGTCTTCGTAACGAATTGTGACTTAGCCTCTGCCACGCAGAAATGGAGAATAGAGAAAGTGAATATGAAAGCTATCAATAACTGGGATAACGTGGGACCCAAACGACATTAATTCCTTTGCCTTTTATTGCCGTAACTTTCTTAGTCCCCTAAACGTCTAATTTAGTTACCTGTATAAATATAAACAAACATACGTTCCATTTTCATTGACTAGTCATCTAAAATTTTATTAATTGAATCCAGTCGTTTTGCATCAGAATACATATTTTGAGATTGCGAGCTTGCATTTATACATTACACGACATGAAATATTGCTGTTTCTTTTTTATAAGCAACTCTTACCAGTATTCCTATGGTGACACATATTTTAACGCATTTCCATCGAATGTAAATACTGTACTTGAACTCTCTTTTGTGCCTTAAACGTATAGCTGCATTTAGAACTTACGTACGTTATAATTATAGTGATTACTTTACAAAGTAATTTCGCTTCAAAGCTCAATTTTTATCTATTATAAATATTTCCTTTTTTATTAATACAACGTATAGTTAAGGGTTTTTAAACGAACTGACCGACGCGTCAAAATTACCTTATTGCCAAATTTTTTCGTGTTAATTGATTAAGTTCTTTTGACTGAAGTAAAACAATGTAAATGTACATTTTATAATGTACGATCGAGCCGAGAGTAGACGGATAAATTGTTTTTTTGTACGATTACGGAATCAAGAATTCTTCTGTGCAAGACTTTCATTTACAATGGAGCTAAGTAGTAATAATAAGTAATATCTTTAAACAAATGACAATGCCTGCAAACATATCATCTTATTGCATATATATAACGAATTATCGATCATTTAACTTTTTATACAATCTAACGCGACTTTTTATGTATATTTGTACCTATATAATGAAGAAAACGACAATTTAATTTCTGTACAGACTCGAATAAATTAAAGTAAAAAAAAAAAGAAATAAAAAAGAAAAAAATTGCCTATTTTATAGAAAATCATGTATTTGTTTATTCAATTCTACCGTACTCTACAACATTTTACGAACGTGAAAACGTTCGACTGTGACTGCAACTATTTTTATAAGATATTTGCACAAGTTAATAAACATTTTTATTAAATCTACTACGTATACGTTATATAATGTGTTTGATATTTAAAAAGTGAGAGATTATCAACAAGCGAGAGTAAAAAAGTGAGAAAAGATCGACAACTCACGATAGAATATTATTATTATAGTCGATATTGGAATTTAATACGCGTACCTTTTGCGTTTGCACATTCGCCCTCGGGATGTGCCATACGTTGCATAGCCGCTGGCGCAACTCCCAATGGCATCGAGATTCTTTCACCTAAAATCGTTGTGCTCAAATCCCTCCTGGAAACATTTCTCAAAAATCTTGGCCTTATCCTGTACCTGTAAAGCGTTACAATTTTCCTTTTAATAGAAAAAAATCATAAGATTAGCAAGATTAACAAATAAATTAGATTAGAAGACTTAGTATTTCCCTATTAACTTGGATTATATAGGGTGACCACACTGATGAAGACTAAATAACATTAAAATAAAAATAACTTTTACAAACACGTTTTTTTTTTTTTTTTTTTT